CCCAGATATTGTTAGTCTTTCAGACATTCTTAATCCCTTTTTCGTACCTTCAAGTTGACTTTTATGTAGCTTTCCTTCAAGTTTCACCCTAAGAATTTCTTTCAAGGTCTTCTTTTGGAAATGATAAATGTTAAGAGTTTTCCAAGAATTTGCAACTTGGATATCACAAATTTCAAAATTGTAGCTTTCAAGCGTGATCTTTAAGGGCTTCTCTTTCATGACGCTGTGTTGGATGCATATTTACTCTATTGAGATAAATTAAGTCATCATGATGATTGAAATCTATCCTTGCCATTGTTGCAGCCATTCCATTTCAAAGATTTAAGTGTAATTTTAGGTTGAACATTTTGCCTGACAAACTTATGTAATCACACGACGTGTGTGTGTTTTATGCTCCCTGTGAAATTAAAGATAATTTATAAACTACAGGTTACCAGTGTAACGCCAAGGAGGACAAATTGTTCCTCATTGTATAAAAACAAATAGGATTTGCACTTCAAAGAGCGTGAGCTAAGATGGTTACGGTTCTGAAAGAAGAGCCTCGAAAAAGATCCTATTATGGATCAATTAAACTACAAACTCGTGACACTTATTGCATCCTAACTTGAAAATCAAGATAATATTTAATGCCTTCTTTAAAACCAATGAGAGTTTTACTTGGACACTGTTTAATCCCTGATTTTTTAAGTTGGTAATCTCTCTTGAAGAACATAGTTCTCCTACCTTGATTTCATTTCCGTTCCTTGTTGCTTTGATTCAGTAGAGTCCCTTTTAATTAAACTTTTAGAGATTTTAATGGTGTTACCTGGGGATTGTTTAATCTATAGTTTTCACGTTTGTAGCTCTACTGAAAAACTTGTTTTTCTTAAGTTGATTTCATTTCAGATATTAGGGTTATGATTTTTTGATTTCCTGTTATAATATAATCTTTTTGTTTAATTAGAGTGTTGTGAATCTTGCTTCTCTCTAGTAAATTAATAGCTTGTTGATTTTATTTTTCTTACTTTCTTGTTAAGTGTTTTAGTCTAATTGTTAGCTTTAATTTGAGTATTGTTAATCTTTTTTTTTTACTACCTTGATTTTATTTAAAATGTTAGGTTTAATTACTTACATTTCTATCAGATAATATTATGAAAAATAAAAAAAATAATGAAAATAATTCAATTCAATTAACTGTCATCCTTCCAATATGTACGAAAATTGTGATTGTCTTACTTCTCTTAATTCTTGTTGGGCAAATTTGAATATACCAAATTCCTACCCGACACCATACAACTCCCCACAATTCAGAAATCAAAGTATCCATATGGGATTTTAATTTCCACTGTGATCAAAGTCTTCTAAACATTAATGTTATTCTCCAATTATTTAAAAAAACTATAAATGTTGATGATGCATTAAATCAACACCATTCATCTTTAAAATGATAAGTGTTAATAATTAACTTTCATTCTAACCCTTGTTTTATTAAAATTTATCCCTTTAAAATTTTTATTTCTCACCATTAGTTAGGTGATCTAAAACAAAATTATCTATATTCTTAATTATAAATTTAAAATTCAATAATAAAATTGCTAGTCTCTAGATACCATTTTTTTTTTCATTTCTCTATTTTCTATTACTTATACACACACACACACACACAAAGTATATACAATCCAAGCTACAGAACAACAAGCATTAAATGAGACCCTAAACGCAAGGACAAACTCCCATCTAATGTCCCGCATTTCACGGTTCCTTGCAATTTAGACTACAAAGCCGAAAACCGAAAACCATCCCAAGTCACAACTAACCATTATACTCTTTAATGTGATGCCTTTTATTTTAATGTCATATTTTTTTATCTTAACTAACTATTATATCTTTTAATTCATTTAAATGAAAAACAATACAAATTTTCAAAAATAAATGTAATGTAAAAGTATAATAAACAAATAAGTTAAAAATGTATGACATAATTAATTATTAAAGATATAACAATAACCCACTTGTATAGTTATTTTATCATATAGAAGAGTTCGTGACTCAGATGTTACAAATTTCAAATTTGTAGTCCTTTCAAGTGAAAAGCTTGCCTTCTAGGGCATCTCTTTGACGATGCTGTGTTAAATGCATATTACTGTATTAAGATCAAAGAATTCAATGCAGATGAGGTCACATCATTACAACACAATTCCTTTAATCCAATCTGCGACACGAGTATATATGCATAAACATTGACACAAAGCTTAGTTTACAGTTCAGGAAGTTTACGTTAGACCAAAATGTAAATCCATACTCTTCGCGGTGTTAATTAAAAAATTCCACAAAATAATCAGACAACAAAAACGAACATGAACAAACATTCAGCAAATCAAATCAAATAGCAAGATACTACACTCACAATCACACTATTTACCCAGGTTCTAACGATTAGTAAAGATAGACAAGGCATTGATGAAACAGAGAAAACACTTGTCTAGGGTATATTTGGGATTGTTGTGTACATGTAGTTCTGTGGCTGTGAGAAAGTACTGCAAAAGAAAATTTTCAAATGGAAAAACAAAGAAAAATATTTAAATTAGAAGAGAATAAAGTCATCTGTAATGCGAATCCCAAAGGTACTCTTAATCAGGGTCTTAAAATAAAGTCATCTTCATACCCACAGCAGGTGGGAGCCGAAGGTTTAGCCCTCAATGATTGCTCCCTTGTAGCTTCTCATGAAGTTCAACGACCTTTCTACTTCTTCAGTAAAAGGTGGAACATTGGTTCCCCTCCTGTGCTCACCACCCATGGTTCATATGGTCTTTCAACAAATTGAAAGAAGCATAAGAATTCCTTCCAACAACTACCCTGAAATAGCATTAGCTGTTTTGCTCTTCAAAGAAGACGAGTTATATATCTACAGTTCTAAAAGAAAAGTATTACGTAAATGAGAAAAAAAAAAAAGAGAAGAAAAGATCCTATTACAGATCAATCAAAGCACCCGCTCACGGAACTCAAAAACACACAAGCATCAGCATACAAATCAATACAGCTCGAGTCAACATCACCAATTATAATAACAATAGCTTTTGTCTTAAGTGAACATGTGATCCAATAGTAGAAGGCATAACTCAGAAACTAAAAACTCAATGCTAAACCAGAACTAACAGAAAATTGATATCATAAAACCAGAAATATCCCAACATACCATTACAGAAAATATAACATTCTCGTCCCAGAAGCCACTTAAGGCTGCAGGGGTTGAGATTTACCAAGCAAGAAACAAGAGCAAAAGGCTGCTAAGGGATCTTATGCCATACATAACACGAAATCAAGGAGTTATTTAACGTCCTCTTTCAAAACCAATTCGAGTTCTACCAGAGCCTCCTTCATAACCATCTCGCATCGAGGAGCCAGCACTTGCCTTCATTGTTCCTCCACCGCCCACTTTTTCCATGGCCTTCTTACCTTTCTTGACCTCAGTCAAGAACTGATCCAATCCAAATGGATCAGCTTCTTCAGCTTCCTTTTCAAACTCAACTGGCCTGTCCCTTGGACCAGCCCTCTCAGAAGTTCCTGAAAATGATTTATCTGGTTTAAAGCGATCAGTTTTCATTATTTTCTCTAGCTGCTCGTCTGCACCTCCATACATATCAGAATCCACGTCTTTCTTTGGCTTATAGAGCGTAGAAAGAGTTGGCTGTGCTGTGAACAGACCCTTGTCGTATATGTTATACTGATCCTCAGTTGCAAAGCCTGAATCCATTCCTTTCTCCTGGTTAAATAACCTCTGATCATACATAACCTCCCCACCCCTAGCTGCTCCTGTAGAAGCCATCCCAAGAGCCACTTTTTCACTGATGTCCCTATCTCTATCCCTGGTGATCTTACTTTTCTTTCCCCCTGCAGCATCTTTGGCCTCCAGTCTTCTCTCCCTCTCCCTCTCTCGACGGCGCTCTTCCCGGATCTTCTCTCTTTGCACCCGCTCTTCCCTCTCTTCTTTTGATTCTTTTGGCATATCCTTCTCTCTTTCTCTCACCCTCTCATAATCTACTCTCATATCAGAACCATCCACCATTGAGCTCTTCTCAGAAGACATTGGAACAGCAGCAGGAGGTGCCACGCCAGTTCTCTCAGAACGAGCTTTAGCAGCTAAGGCCCGCAATTCTTGCTCCTTCCTTTCCTTCTCCTTCATCATCATTTCCTTTTGAACCTTGGATCTCATTGCAACAGCTTCTCTGGCCTTCTGTTCAGCAACATAAAGTGCCTCTGATAACTTTGCAAAGTTATCATTGATCTGAACTTCCTGCAAACCTCTTCCATCTGCGGCTAGACGCTTGTCAAGTGGGATTGTATATCCCTTTGGGTTCTTCCAGTTAGAAATGCAGGGAGGGATTTTCCAGTCCTGCTGATCTTTAACAGTCACAGGTCGCGGAGGAGAATGCATCACAGGCACAGGTGGAGATCCTGAAGCCCTTGGGACCCTCTTGTGCTTAAACTTTGGAGGCTCAAGGGGATCCACTGGCATCTCTACCATTCTGATTATCCTTTCCTTTGCACCTGAGTTAAAGGCAGCAGATTGTTGTGAAGGCTTATATTTAATATACTTTGAATCAGATGACTGCTTGGGTACATTTTTTGGCTGTGCAGCACTCAACCTCACATTCACAATCTTCTCCAAAGCTGCTTTTGTTTCCTGTGTCGTCTCCTCAATCTCCTTCTCCAACTCCTCGTCTTCTTCATCTCCCCCTTCCTCGTCCTTCAAAACCTTTGGTATCAGATCCTTATGCTGTGAATAAACAATCTTCTTGGCATTCTCACCCTGTTTCACAATTGCATCATATGCCAGATTCCCACGGGCATCAACAGTTACTGGTAAAATCTTCGACCCAGCTTTTGAAGATTTATCCCTACCCATATCCAATGGGTACTGGGCAATATGTATCTCAGGGAAGGCACCTCCATCCCCAAAATCTTCTACTCTCCTAGGCACGAACCCAGCACGCTTCAAATAAGGAGGAACCGGCTTTGCTTTCACCGCCAAAGACTTTTCCGCCTCAGACGAACTATACAGCTGCTTGAACCAAGGATCATTCGAATGATCGTAATATGATGTTGTGGACGACTTAACAGCAGGCAGGAGATCCTTTAAAGCCGCCATGATAGATAAAAGTATGTATAAATATCACCTGCAACAACAAGCAACAAGTCCTCAGGAAAATAAAGAAAAATAATCGAATCTCATCTTCCTACAAAAACATAAAATAGATATGGCGAATTCAGCGACCCAGAATTGAAAACGAAAACGCGAAAATCAGGAACAAACACCAGGAAACCCTAGATCAATTAAAACCCTAACCCAAATCAGAGAAGAAGAAATAAACTAAATAATCTCATATACAAAAGAGGTGAGGTTGAATCGAAGAACGAAAGACACCGAACCTGATATGAATTTGTGGAAGACTTCCGTAATCGGAGTGAAGGACTAGATTGGCTTCGTCGGCTGTGGGGATTGGGGATTAGGGATCGTACGCCTCTGTATATGATAAATATATGAAGGTTTAAGTACCATTTTAGTCCCTCAACTTTACACTTTGGTACCAAAATTGTCCTTCA